AAATGGGTAAACTCTGCTTAATTTAACTCCCTAAAAAAATTTCCCTTCAGTAATTAGGCTAAGGATTGCACGTAGCTCCGCCGATGTTTAAAGTTTCTAATGGTATTTTTCTGATATATAAGATGGAACACATGGGAGAAAACTTTAAAAAGAACGGTTCCATGGACTTTGGTGTAATTAATTCATTCATTTATAGGCAGACTGAGTGCTTTTCGAGAGAGAAAAACAAAAAAAGGAAAAGAAACAGTTTTTTTGAGACAAAAAAGGAAAAGAAACATAACAAAGGAAGCAGAAGAAGAAGACCAGGAGCTTTCTTGGGCCGGAAGGTGGGATTATTGTCCGTTCGAGACAACGGGAAGACTGCAAAGACGGCCCAATCTCCTCTGCTTCTCTGCCTAAACCCCACTGCCTCTCTCGCCGTGCTCGAGGCGACGGGAAAAGCTTCCTTCGCGGGTGGCAGGCAGGGCCAATGGCCGCCGGCGCCTCTCCGCCGGAGACGGTGCTCTCCGCGGCGGACGGCCCCGGGGACGAAGACGGGGAGGAGGGGGAGGGGGAGGAGGAGCAATGCCGCATCTGCCGCCTCCCGGCCGAGGCGGGCCGCCCCCTGCGCCACCCCTGCGCCTGCCGCGGCAGCATCAGGTTCGTCCACGACGACTGCCAGCTCCGGTGGCTCGCCACCCGCCAGGGGCCCCGATGCGAGGTATCGCCTCCGTTCACCTCTCCTCGCCCGCCTAGGGTTTCTCCTCTCTCGGCGTCCGTGCCCGCTTTGAATGGTTGCTGAGTTCGCGCTGTTGCTGTGGCTGCGCGTGCTTTATTCCGTTCAGGTTCATCTCGTTCGCTGCAGCTAGTTTCAGTCCCGTGTGCCACTAGATGTCTAGGTGATACGATGCTGCGTGCGTGCGTGCGTGCTTGGTGAATGTTTTGCCATGATTCCAATCCTCACCAAAAATGTCCCCTTTTCAATGTGATGCGCCATTGCCATACTGTTGCAATGTAAATACGTTGTCAGCATTGTATATCCTCCACGAATGATCCCCTTCATCATGTTGCTGCGTGCCTGTGAGTGACCCACCCTTTGCGCAACTAATTTCAACCCCAACTACTGAAAGATGCCTTGTGATTCTGTCTGTGTGCTGACCCTTGTCAATCGCCATTGCCATTGCCATGATTCCTCGCTGAAAATGTCCCCCTTTTGCAATGTAATACTCAAAGTTCTTGTCATATTCTTGTTGGGATTGCGGTTAATTCATCTTCGTGTTCATCTCGATGTGATTTTTTTGTGATGTTGATGCGATTGATGGTATCATTTCAGCTGTGCAACAACGACATCTCCATCCGACCTGTGTACGCTGCAGACGCCCCTGCGAGGCTGCCTGTTTCCGAGTTCATCGCGGGTTTCTCCCACAAACTCATGGATCTGTTGCTCCTCCTTATCTGCCTCGTCCCAGCACTTGTCATGCACCTCATCACCCTCGGGGCATGGCTCTTCGCGCTTGCCAGGTCCTTTGCTCAAGTGCACTATCTGCTGTCCCTCCGGCTCCGCCCCTCGGTCGCCTCGACTGTTGCTCAAACTGCAATTTTCATTTTAAGGCTGCCTGGTATAATTCTCAGAGGGGTCGTAGGTTCTATCCCCTTCGTCGCCTCGATTGTTGCTCAAACCGCAGTATTCATTTTAAGGCTGCCTGGTATATTTCTCAGAGGGGTCATGCGTTCTATTCCTGCTGCCAATTTTTGTCTTAATCTGCTGAGCGCAAAAATATTACACCCGGTGTTCTTTGGCTGGGCGCTTGATATCTGCACTTCAGAAATGTTTGGTGCAACAATGTCCCAGAGGTTCAAGCTTATGCTTGCTTCATCTTTTGCTTCAACTGTCCTTCATTGGTATTTTGGATGCATCTTTTGGCACCTAGGCCTTAGATTCTTCAGACTTCTTGATAAGGTATGTACCATGTTATATCTGTGACCTCATTATGTCAATAGTATGTCCAGTATACAGTTCAGGGTATAATGGGTGCTGATTTTGTTTGTCAATAGATACTGAGGCCAGGAATTGCCATTCCCTTTGTCCACTATGAAGCTCACGAACCATTCTACAAATTTTATTTCAAGAAGCTTCATGTTCCTTTTGTTGGAATCATCTCTATGGTTTTGGCCATTCTTGTTCCTATTCAAATTGGCGGGCTATTGGTGCCGGAGTTGTTCCCATTTCATATCACGTAAGTATTCTAAATTTATTTTATGTTTTTATCTGATGTATTTGCCTGATTTTGAAGACTAACACTTTGTTTTACTGTCTGTGATTTGCAGCTACTTCAGTTGTGGTGCAAAGGGCATATCATTTTGGCAAGCACCACGAAACTATGTCGATTCAGTTTCTCATGCTCTTCTTCTGAAGTTTCTCATTGATAACACTAAGACACTCGTATACCTTGAGTGGTTAGTGAAGAAGGTAACCCAGTATTCCTTTGTCACTGCTGGACATGCTCTAGGCTTGTCAGATTCGTTGAGTATCTGGCCCGTTGGTGCATCTGGACATGATGAGATTGGGAGTAGTGTCGCACCAGAAGACCAGTATGATAGGATCAATGAAGCTAAGGATGGAAGGTAAACCCCCATAGTTTTGTTCATTTACGGAATTGCACACTGCACATCATTTTTAGCTTGCCACATCTAGTTCCATTTTCTAATGTTATCTATTTCTTACCTTATGATTTCATTGTTCACTGCTTATTTACGAACTTGCGTATTGGTGGATAGGAAGCAGTTTTGGGCTTCTGAAATATGTTTTCTTTGCTCATTTTACCTACTGGGGTATTTGTGATACTCTTCCCTAGTGTGCTCTGCATAGTGGTAATTATTAAGCGATGACACCTTGCCATTTGACACATGATGCTTACCATGCTGATCACATATATATCAAACAGCTCCAAAGAAGGTTTTGCGTCTGACATGACTTCCATATCAGCACTATGGATCATGTGAAAAAGGCTCTGTGAGAAACAAGCTTGTTGGATCGTTGGTACTCTAACAATCTTGTTCTGAAGTGTCAAAAGAAACTGTGATGGCAAAGCAACCTTGTGGCAGCAATTAACTATTAAAATATGAATAATTAAGTCAATGATGGTAAGTATTGTAGTTAGGTTTGTGGAAATAGATACATTTCGTTAGGAAAGAAATAGGTTGAAATAGGAAGATAAGGATATGGTTTGTTAGGGAAGTAAAGATCCTGTTCTTAGGGGTCAAGTCGAATTTTCCCTATGAGACACTTTGTAGTGTGTACTCGTCAATTATTCAGCAAATGCTCTATACCTGATCTCCAGACCTTTACCAATCGCTCCGCATGATCTTTTCTCTAATCTCATTGTTTGTTGGCTATACTTGTCTGCTCACTTATTACTTTCACAATTCAGTGCATTGAAGCGTTTGCAAACCAAGAGGTGTTGCTTGCACAACTTTTGAGTGGATACTTACCTTCTTGTACATTGTACCAGGAGATCAGTTGCAGTTGCTACAATCCTAAGTCTGGTGCTTGCATGGTTGACTATTGTGGTATTCAATTTGGCTGTGCTCATTTTTCCAATCTCAATTGGGCGTGCCATCACTCGGCTGCCACTAGCAGGTGGACTGAAATCCGATGGTAATGATTGTCCAGAGATGGTAATTTGGATTGTTGGACTTCCTTAAAAACAAGAAAATATTTTAACCTTGTTTTGGCTTACTTGTCGATATTTCCTCTTAGATATGCTTGCTTTGGCTATTGGATTTGGCACCATATCAACTGTTATTGCCGCCTCTAGAGATTCATTTGCGTACGTGACTTCTGGGAGAACAGACCTTCTAGCCCTGAATCGCTATCTGGTTGTGTTCTTATGGGTGAGCAATTTACTTCAGGTGGTTTCCTTCATATTTTACTTTCTACTATGCTGTAGCTGAATAACTTATGTCTGCTGTCAGCTTGTCATCGCTCCTTTCCTGACCGGGCTGTTGGTTGATTTATCACTAATATCACCATTCACTGGGCTTGCTGATGACGTTCCAGTTGTAGGCCTTTCCTACTATTGGAGCCTGGGGTGTCTATCTCTGAAAATCTGGGGGAAGCAGGTGAGTTCCAAGTCCAATTTCACATCTCACTTTCTGACCTCTTAACCTATATTATTATTGTCACGTATGTACCGAACTTGACATATTGCTACATGGCACACAAATTGTACTGGTTGTGAAAATCCCACTGCTAAAGTGAATACCAAAAATAACACATTCACATTTTTATTGATTAGGTTATCGTCCGAAAATAGAAAAAATATTTAATTTCTGGGTTTGTCTTTGTGGCTTGAAGGCTCGTCGGACAAGGGCCAGATGCTTGCGAGCCTATTTCATCGACGAAAGGTGGGGCCCAAAGCTTAATCAGGCAAAGGCGGATTGGGATTCAGGGATCGCACCAATGTGGTGGTTCTTGCAAGATGTGTGCATTCCTATCGTCACGAAGCTGCTCGCTGCTCTGGGTGTTCCCTATGTGCTTGCCAAGGGGGTCTTCCCAAGATTCGGCTACTCCGTTGCCATGAACTCGGCGGTGTACCGTTTCGTGTGGTTGGGCAGCCTCGGCTTCTATCTCGCCAAAGCGTTGTGCGCCAAACTCCATGATTCTATCAGGGACGCCCGCTATGTCGTCGGGCAGAGGTTGGAGGATGTCGCCGACGGTAGCTGAAGACTCTTCTTCCCTGACCACTCTGTTTCCAGTCAGTTGGGGACGAAAGAGGTTCTGGTGATACTAACAGTTAGTAGCACGCAAACGTGTTGCTGACATCAACAAATGCAGACGAGATGATGCCAGACAGATAAATTCCTGGTGAAACTTGTAAATATGGGTGCGGTTTTCATTTTCCATGTGGAAGTTACCTGGAGTCGTATCGGTCAGTTCCCGACGAATCGCTGGGATGTAAGGCGCCGTTGAATTTAGGCAGATATCTTGTAGATTTCTACGCTTTTTTGCAAGGTGTTATCAGGATTGTTGTATGGTTAGCTGCTGACAGGCTCTCGGGCCTTTCCAGTGCCAAATGTGCTTTGGCACTGTTATAAGGCAATTGTGGTGGGTTTGGAAACTTTTATCTTGGAGCCATGTGCATCAAGTTTCCGGGGCAAACATTTGCACCAACATGCGAATTGTCACAAATTCAACAGGGGAACGACCTATAATATATACTGGAGTCATCACTGCATTCGAAATTACACGCCTTCCAGGCTCGCTGCTCCCTCTCTGCAGCTGTTTGATAAAATTCTGGCTGTAGCTGCTGCCTGTTGGTATGGATGTAACAAAAAAATGTGGACAGAATCGTGGTCGATACGCGGCTATTAATATCTTCATTTGACGTGTGCAAGTGGTACAAAACTAGGGCAGGACATGTCTAACATTTTTGGCCGCCAAAATTTTGATTACATCCATCAGCCAAAAGAAATTTCCATATCAACAGGCAGTA